AAAATTTCATTTTTCTTAATCATTTAAAAATCTAATTGGACTGAGATACTGGGTCACAAATTAATTTTCCTTTCTGTGAAAACAAGCAATTTATAATTATTCTAAAATCAAATCGCATTTTATTTATCATATTCTCATTTTAACCAGCCCTGTTTACTTGTACAGATCTCTGTCCCGACTTCCCTGACCTTTCTGATTATAATAAATTACAATAATTAATTTTAATTTTTTTCATATCTTTTCTTTATTTATTGTGATTTGATTTTGTTCATAAACTAATACCAATACAGAAAATGATGAAATAGGGAAAATGTTTCAATATTTGATGTTCTGAAGATGGATGAAAAAATATTAAATTTTAACCATCTCTCATCGTTACTACTATTACTGTAAAATCTGTATTAGAAGCTGTGACTTCTATTGAAATGGTACAATGCAACAGAGGGAATGCGGCTTCTATTAGAGCCATCTATACATATGAGGAATGATGAATTTTTGGTTCTCAATTGTTCAAAAAGAATAGGTGCGACTTATATTAGAGATGCGGCTTCTAATACAGATTTTACGATATACATCGTATAATAGATAATCCTAACATTTTCGTTTAGATCCAAATAAAGTACTTTTCTCACCAGATCTCAGAGGGTGCAGCATTTGCACAACATTCTGACTTTTAAATAACAACTCCCCGGGTAATTTATTTACAATTAGCGAGGGTCATGAATTGCTGATTTGTTTTAAATTATGGATCCGAGAGTGAAATGTCCACTTGCGAATTCCCGAAAATTGAAAAAAAATCAAGACACCTTGAGTTCCAACACACATTTGCATTGACTAGTGAATTAACCAGTAGTACCCTCCTCTTAGTGGCACACTTACAGGGTACTTATTTTTACAGTGTTTAACCCTCTTCAACCCAGAATGGGATTTGCATGAATGAATGATGGTTGAGCCTGAAGCAGTGGAAACTATGGTATAGATGCATGCATCCATGATTGAAAAAAGTGATAAGAATCAAGTCAGGGATACAAGGTAAGCTAGGACCTGTCAAAAAACAGACAATGGCAAAATAATTTATTGTGTCTTGCTGTGTTTAAAAATAAGAGTCGTGGATCCTGACTCTTGATGTTAATACACTCATGTGAAAGCATGTGTAACAATGCTATGCAATAAATTATCCATCTCCGATGAGAGGCAAAGATAAGTTGAACTGTATTAATAATAATGCGCAAATTATTAAGTGCTGGCCAATATTTGATATTTTTAATAGTGTCCCAAGAGACCCGTCTAGAATACTCAGTTGTCTAAGCTAGGACTCGCGCAGAGCAATCAAATCACGTCAGATAAGAATATGTATGGTTTTGAAGCGTTCCCATGACGATACCACGTTTATTAGCCAGGAAACGAAATTCCATCAGACTCTCTGTAAAGCTTGGAGTCTGAAGGTATGCACATTAACAGGGAAAATAACCCAATATGTATTGTGTCAGCATCCCATAGTGATTCATTGATACGTAAAGACGACACACATGCTCATCCAAGCAACTGGAACATTATTTGTTTCCCCATCGGGAAGTGCTAGACTGAAATATATTTAAAATGATGACGAAAACAATTGATATTAATGACAACTGCTTTGAACAGAACGTGTTACAACGTATTAAACATCGTTGTTTTTTTAACAAAAACATCAAATACTGTGGAATACTTTATTTTCGCTGGAATAAATTTTCGCTGAAAAGGCTTTTTGGGCGTTTTGTACATGGAATTTATTTTCACT